CTTTGTTTGATGCAGGCAAATTTGAAATCCATGCATAGAAGCATTCTTTGAAAGCTGAAAATTTCTAATATAAAACTAATATAAAACTCTGCATATGGACTTAGAAATTATAAACATTACCAGGATACAAAGAGAAAAGTGTGAAATTTGTAGGAGTAAAATTCTAACTACAGAGATCAAAATCTACCATATTTTGAAAATAAAATTCTGAAAACTCCAACTTAACATAAAATAGGAAAACTAGTATATAAACCAAATAAGTTGAATCACATTTGGAAAACTCTAACCAAAAGAGAAAAAAGTTAAATAATCAAACTTTCGGTCCAAACTTCTAAGTAAGAAGAAACAAACCTATCTTTCCCAGATCAATGCAAAGTGGAAATAAGCAGAGAATGTTTTTAAATTTCTTTTTGAAAACCACCAATATATAGATGACTATGTAAGTGAACCAGGGCTTGAAAAAAATTGTAAAGCACTCCTTTCATAAATGAACACAAATATCCTAAGCAAATATTATTATAATAAATGAAATCATGTATTAAAATAAAATAGATCAATAATAAGTGAGACATAATAAATCGTACAAGGGTTGTTAAGGGTCCCAAAAGAGTCATCTAATTAGGTGAAAAATACAAAAAGAAAACCACATGATTATTCACATTACATGTTGAAAAGCATTTAATGAAATTCAGCATCTAGCAAAAAAAAAAAAAAAAAAGTCAATAAAAATAAACAAAAAGTGACTTCCTCAGTCTGGCCAAGATCAAAGGAACCTACAACAAACAAGAGAACTAACACAGAATCATTGAAGGCTTTTTCCCTGGGAGTCAGCCTAGCCCAGGATGCCACTGTGTCTCTTCAACTTCCTACTGAAGGGTCATCCGGGGATTAAAAGGTGAAAAGGAAATAAAAGGTGTAACGATAATTTCTAAGGAATGAAACTGTTGACCTATTAATAGGATGACACTTATATACAGAGATAATTCATCAACTTTAAAAACAAATACAGTCCAGCGCCACGGTTCAATAGGTTAATCCTCCACCTGGGCACCAGCAAAACCGGGTTCTATTCCCGGTCGTGGCACCGGATTCTGTCCCGGTTGCTCCTCTTCCAGTCCAGCTCTCTGCTGTGGCCCGGGAGTGCAGTGGAGGATGGCCCAAGTGCTTGGGCCCTGCACGCGCATGGGAGACCAGGAGAAGCACCTGGCTCCTGGCTTCGGATCAGCGTGATGCACCGGCCTCAGCAGCCATGGTGGGGGGGGTGAACCAACGGAAAAAGGAAGACCTTTCTCTCTGTCTCTCTCTCTCACTGTCCACTCTGCCTGTCAAAAAAAAAAAAAAAAACTGTTAAATAAAGTTAATGAGACTACGGCAAAGACTAATGTATAAATTTCCACTGATTACTAAATACCAGCAAGAAACACATAGGAAGTAATATTAAAGAAGAGGCAAATTAGAAAATAAATACCTACAAGAGATATGGAAGAAAATTATTAAATTATGTATTATTTGCAAACATTCTTCAGATCAACATAAAAAATCACAAATGACCCATAGAAATGAGTCAAAAATATGCAGAAAAGCAAAAGGCGCAGCAGCCCATACACAGCCTTTAAATATTAAGTCACCTTAAGCAAGTTACTGCAACCTCCAGGTAGGATTCTTAAGGAGGACACGAGGAGGCAGAAGGGGTCCCAACAGGTGCCAGGATCCGGGAGGTGAAAGGGCCCCTGCTGCCCTGGGACGCAGCCCTGGAGGAGATGTCACACCTGAACCCAGGCCTGGCCTCCACTGTTCCTGTCAACAGCAGCCTGAGGTTAGGTCCCTGCTGTGGAGGATGCTGGTTCCTCACGTCTTCTGTGTCGTGAATGCTGACCACTATGCACACTGTCCAATCAGGCGCTGTGGCGTAAACGCTAGGTAATCACGCGAAATCTTGACGCCATAGTCCTTGTCCAGTTCCACGGAGGAGAGAGGTTCTAGGAGGAGGCTGGGAGAGTCCAAGGTAGCACAGCGTCTGCTCCACTCTGACTTTCTTTCACGCAGGATCCCGAGAAATAGTGAGTGTGTGGGCTGGGCGGACACCGGCAGGACGCGGGGCTCCCAGAGTTCGTCTCTGGAGTCTGTTTGCTCCATCTCACAGTGGCACAACGCTTACCTGGGTCCCCTCTGGCCTGCAAGGTGGGTGCTGGAGTGGCAGCCTGGACTCCAGGAGTCCTGTCCTTTCCCTGCTCACAGAGACGGCAGGGGGCCTGGTGGTCACTAGGGAGAAGCCAGGCCGTGTGTGGGTTCATGAAGGGGAGACGCTGTTATTTATGAGGTCGTTGGTTCCTCCTTTCTTCCCACGTGGGAAGCAAGGTCTCATTTCCTTCAAATCTGCATAGGTCTTTCTAGGAGATATCCTGGCGGTTTCAATACGTGGTAATTTTAAGTAGAATCAGTGTTAAACTTACTGGGAGAACTATTAAGCTTTTATTGTAATGTAAGTTTAAAATGTAATCTCGAAAACTGAAAGAGAATGAAAGAGGGTGGGAGGGATGATGGATATATCATTATGTTCTTAGAACTGTGTCTACCAACCATATTGAATGTGTTAAAATTAGTTAAATAGTAAAATAAAAAGCTATCAACTTGACAAATATTTAAAGAAAGTAATGAAATACTGTAGATACCTGCAATTTTGGTTATCATTCTTATCTATGACATTTGAAAGGAATCCATTTTTCTCAATTTTAAATATCCTAACAATAGAATTTGTTATTATTATTCTGTTGAGACGTCCTATTTAATATACTCCTTTAACTGGAAATAGTACTGCCACTGAAAAAACAAAGCCTCAGACCGGGGCTGTGGTGTAACAGATAAGGCTGCCGCCTGCAGTGCTGACATCCCATATGGGCACCAATTCAAGTCTTGGCTGCTCCTCTTCCAATCCAGCTCTCTGCTTTGACCTGGGGAAGCAGTAGAAGGTGGTCCAAGTCCTTGGGCCCCTGCACCCACATGGGAGACCTGGAAGAAGCTCCTGGCTCCTGACTCCTGGCTCCTGGCTTCAGATCAGCTCAGCTCTGGCCATTGCGGTTGTTTGGGGAGTGAACCGGTAGAATGGAAGACCTCTCTCTCTCTCTAGCTCTACCTCTCTATGTAACTCTGTCTTTCAAATAAATAAAATAATTATTTGAAAAAAAAAACTCTTATAAATGTTGATAAAACACTGCCCTTAAAATTTTCACTCAAAATATCAAGAGACCTAAAATATAGCATTCCTGCTTAAAAACCGAGTGACTTACTACCACTCAAGTGTTCCAATTACGCAGGGATATTTTGGGGCCAGCGCTGTGGCACAATGGATTAAACCCCTGGCCTGAAGTGCTGAATTCCCACATAGGCGTCAGTTCTCATCCTGGCTGCTCCTTTTCTGATCCAGCTCTCTGCTATGGCCTGAGAAAGCAGTTGAAGATGGCCCAAGTCCTTGGGTCCCTTCACCCACATAGGAGACCAGAAGAAGCTCCTGGCTTCTCTATCTTCTCTATCTTCGGATCGGTGCAGCCCCAGCTATTGCAGCCATCTGGGGAGTGAACCAGCAGAGGAGGACCTCTCTCTTCTCTCTACCTCTTTCAGTAACTCTGTCTTTCTAATAATTAAAATAAATCTTTAAAAGCAAGCAAATATGCAGAGATATTTCATAATGCCAAGTAAGTAACTGAATAATTCTAAGCATATTTATGTAATGGCTTCTATAAATTCTTTTGGAAAACAGATGTGGTTATTTGTTACAAATTTCAAGTAAATAGAAAATATACTAGAAAAATATCTTGAATAAAATTCAAGCAACTCATAAATAAGAATACAAAGAAATTTTCCACCATATAACATAGCAAGTACTAATTTTCCAACCTTTATTTTTCATAAATTATAATCTTTAACTCTAGAAAGAGTACTATATTGACAGAACAATTACTCAGGCGCTGGGATACCTAAGTCTATATAGAATTATCAGCATTATAAATTACTTTCATGACCTTAAATCACTTCACTGGGCCTCAGCATCTTCATGTGCAAAATTAGGTTTGCATAAGATCAGTTGTACTGAAGATAAACTTCAAGGATCTCTTGAGATCCAAAGAGGCACCTTAAAGTAATACTGAAAAATTTAACTCAAAACTTACATTCTTCAAATACAGATACTGTAAACTGTTTCTACAACTAATGCAAAATAACTCTCACATTCGAATGTGTACCAAACCACTTTCAACTTCTGGGGATAATTAGTACGTTAACTTCTGATGCTAAGTTGATTTTGTTCCCCTCTCTTTTCTTAACAAGTCCAGTAATTTATACTTCTAGAAAATACATATCACATTTAAAATTGAATTGTCAGATTTATACAAATCTTTATTTTAATACAAGTAAGGCTTCTGTGTTTATGTAAAACGAAGAGTAGAGACATTCTGAGAAAAGTTGCTATACCAATGACTCAGCTGACAAATAGGTCAATACCACATAGGTAAGGAATGTTACTGTAACATAACCTCAAATATATTTTAGATAGGGTTAGTGTTTCTTTTAATCTGCAGTTGATTCTTGGACAAACTGAATAAGTTTTATTTCGCAGTAGAGAAATGAAACTGCTGTTTCATTATTAATTCATTTTTTAACAGAGTTCAATACCAAGATATCAGAGTCATTTAAAAATGGTATTTTTGTTTGTTCTACTTAATACTTTTGGTTGAATACTGTAATGAATACACAATTCTTCTTAAGTGCTGAAACTTAACTGAAAAGTGATCACTGTTAAATATAAGAGTTGGAATAAGAGAGGGAAGAGATGTGCAATTCGGGACATGCTCAAGCTGACTTACCTCAAACGGTAGAGTTAGAAACATACCAGGGAATTCCAATTCAATCCCATCAAGGTGGCATGTACCAATGCCATCTCACTAGTCCCAGTGATCAATTTCTGTTCACAATTGATCATAATGATAGGACTAAGAACCAAAGGGAACACATAAACAAGAATAGTGTCTGCAAATACTAGCTGATAGAATAAAAAAGGGAGAGAATGATCCAACATGGGAAGTGAGATACACAGCAGACCCATAGAATGGCAGATGTCCTAAACAGCACTCTGGCCTCAGAATCAGCCCTTAAGGCATGCGGATCCGGCTGAAAAGCCCATGAGAGTATTTCAGGCATGGAAAGCCAAGACACTCTGGGGGAAAAAGAAAAAAACCTAAATGAAAGATCTCTGTGAGTGAGATCCCAGTGGAAAGAACGGGTCATCAAAGAAGGAGGTACCTTTCTCTGAAGGGAGGAGAGAACTTCCACTTTGACCATGGCCTTGTCTAAATATGATCAGAGTCGTGAACTCAGGGAGCTTCCACAGCCTTGGCAGCTCATGACAAGAGCCTAGGGTGATTACAGACGCCATAAACAAGAGTGTCAATTTGTTAAGTCAACAACAGGAGTCACTGTGCACTTACTCTTCATGTAGGATCTTTGTCCTTAGTGTGCTGTACATTGAGATTTAATGCTATAACTAGTACTCAAACAGTATTTTTCACTTTATGTTTCTGTGTGGGAGTAAACTGTTGAAATCTACTTAATGTATGCTAAACTGATCTTCTGTATATAAAGAGAATCGAAAATGAATCTTGATGTGAATGGAAGGGGAGAGGGAGTGGGAAAGGGGAGGGTTGCGGGTGGGAGGGACGTTTTGGGGGGGAAGCCATTGTAATCCATAAGCTGTACTTTGGAAATTTATATTCATTAAATAAAAGTTAAAAAATGGTATTTTCTAATATCTTATGGTATAAATTTGCATTTAAAAGTGTTTTTAGGGCCAGCGCCGCAGCTCACTAGGCTAATCCTCCACCTTGCGGTGCCAGCACACCGGGTTCTAGTCCCGGTTGGGGCGCCGGATTCTTTCCCGGTTGCCCCTCTTCCAGGCCAGCTCTCTGCTGTGGCCAGGGAGTGCAGTGGAGGATGGCCCAAGTGCTTGGGCCCTGCACTCCATGGGAGACCAGGATAAGTACCTGGCTCCTGCCATCGGATCAGCGTGGTGCGCCGGCCACAGTGCGCCTACCGCGGCGGCCATTGGAGGGTGAACCAACGGCAAAGGAAGACCTTCTTTCTCTCTGTCTCTCTCTCTCTCAATGTCCACTCTGCCTGTCAAAAAAAAAGTGTTTTTAGAAAATAATGAATACTTTTTCAAAAAAGATTTATTTGAAAGGTAGAGCTGTCAAGAGAAAGGGAAAGAGAAAGATATCCTCCATCCACTGGTCCACTTGCCAATGTGCACATTGGTTTGGTCTCAGCCAGACCCAAGCCAAGAACATGGCACTCCTGTCTACATCTCTCATGTGGGTGGTAGGGACCAAGCACTCACCATTTTCTTAGCTACATTTGCAGGGAGATGGATCAGAAATGGATCCATTGGCCTCAGACTGTTGCTGAGATGAGATGCCAGCATCACATGCAGTGGCTTAACCTGCTGAGCCACACCGCTTGCCCCAAACTGCAGAGAATGTGCCTAAATTGAACCCTGGAAATTAAGAATCACCTTGCTTTTCAAATACATAAATCTGAAAAGAAAATGAAGCCAGTGTGAGCCACCATCTGCAAGTCCCAGCTGTTCCATTTCCATTCAAGCCCCCACTAAAATGCCTGGAAAAGTAGTGGAAGATGACACAAGTGCATGGGCCCCTGCTACCCCATGGGTGATAAAAATCATCAAGTTTCTGACTCCTGGCCTCAGCCTGGCCCAGCTCCAGCTGTTGCAGCCATTTGGGGAGTGAAACAGTTGGTTGAAGATCACTCTCAATCCCTCCTTCTCCTTCCACCCCATATGCCTGCTTTTCTTTTGTTTTCTTTTTCAAAGACATACCTATTTAAAAGTCAGAGTCAGAGACAGAAGGAGAGGCAGAAAGAGAGAGGTCTGCCATCCCCTGGTTCATTCCCCAGATGGCCGCAACAGCTGGAGCCATGCACATCTGCTTTTCAAATATAGAAAACATATTTAAAAAACTAAATGTTAGTGCAGCTGTCATTGTGGTGCAGGTGGTTAAGCCACTGCTTGCTGTACCAGCATCCCATATCATAGTGACAATTTCAGTGCAGGCTATTTCACTTCTGATGATGCTTCCTGCTAATGCATCTGCAAAGGCACATGATGGCACATGTATGAAAGTCCAGAATGAGTTCCTAGCTCCTGGCTTCAGCCACATTAAGCCCTAGTTGTTGCAGCCATTTGGAGTGTGAGATTCTCTCTTTTTCATCTCTCTCTCTCTTCCATCTCTCTCTCGATCTCTGTCTTTCTGTCTCTCTTTCCATTTCACTGATTTTCAAATAAATAGGATAGATATTTTTCAAAAAGAATCTGCTGGGGATTTATCTCAAAAAAGAACATTTTAAAATCACATTTTGAAATTAGTTTAATTCAAGATCATCATAAAGATTATCATTTATATAACTATATTAAGATTTTATAACCCATATATCATTGTTAGAACATTATCAAAAATAACAAAATATTTTTGATAAAAGTAAGTACAAAGTATTATTATTAAAATTAAATGAACTAAGCAATAAGCCTTAAATGCAAATTAACAAGAAGGTTAAACTCAAATTTCTATGTTCACCAACATAGTCTCATTTTTCTCAATGCTGATTTTATACTGAATAAAATATTTTGATGTTATGTTGAAATGTATCAGTTTTTCATAAAAATCATTGCTATATTGAAATGTTCTAAAATCCCTCCATATCTGTGTCTCCTGAATTAGTAGCATTTATTGAGTTCTTTACATCTGTGTAAACATCATAATTCACTTTGAAATGACTAACATATATGCTGTTGTACATAAATATATTCTTTTCCAAGAATCAAAGAATATATGCATGCCACCTACTTTACTTCAAGCTGCCATACCCAGTCGTATAAATTGTAATTAAAACTATTTCAATTGTTCAGCATTATACACAGCTATAGATTATTTTTAAAGATTTATTTTATTTATTTGAAAGACATAGTTACTGAAAGAGGTAGAGACAGAGAGAGAGAGAGATGTCTTCCATCCACTGGTTCACTCCCCAGATGGCTGCAATGGCCATAGCTGGGCTGATCAGAAGCCAGGAGCCAGGAGCTTCTTCCAGGTCTCCCACGTGGGTGCAGGGGCCCAAGGACTTGGGCCATTTTCCACTGCTTTCTCAGGCCATAGCAAACAGCTGGATTGGAAGAGGAGCAGCCGAACTACAACCGGCACCCCTATGGGATGCCAATGCTTCGGGCCAGGTATTTAACCTGCTGCACCACAGTGCTGGCCCCACAGCTGTAGAGTCTAATAACATAGTAGTTTTAAGAACAACAGGGCCCAGCGCTATGGCATAACTGGTAAAATCTGCAGGGCCAGTATCCCATATGGGTACCATTTCAAGACCCAGCCACTCCACTTCTTATCCAGCTTTCTGCTATGGCCTGGGAAAGCAGTAGAAGATGGCCCAAATGATTGGGCCCTTGCACCAGCATGGGAGATGCAGAAGAAGCTCCTGGCTCTTGGCTTTGGATAGGCGCAGCCTCAGCCATTATGGCTAATTGGGGAGTGAACCAGTGGATGGAAAACTTCTTTCTATCTGCCTCTCCTTCTCTCTGTGTGTAACTCTGACTTTCAAATAAATAAAATAAGTATTAAAAAAAAAACAGTCAGTTCCAAGAGGGTAGAACACAGAGGGAGCTAACTGATCTAGTCCAGAAGAAGATAGTTTAATAAAAGTGGAGATAGTGTAGTCTCAGGGAAGAGTTAGGGAAAAAATTGGCAGAGGAAACTCTTCTATAATTAGAGGGACACAGTGAACCTAAGGACGGCTCAGAACTCCAGCAGCCAAGATCCTCCACACCAGCACAGGAAAATGAGGTGAGAAGAAAGACAGTAGCCTGAGACACTGGTGGAAAAGTGGCAGGAAGCCCCTTGGGGGAATGTACACCAGCCTAACTAGAGTTGAGAAAAAATAAAAGGGATAGTACACACATGAGTCTGTCTCTCCCATCAACTTACAAAGGCATATGAGCTGATAGAGCAGGTGCCATTTTGTACCTACATAACAGCTGCACCAGCTCGGGGCTGCACCCAGCAATCAGCCGAGCAGAGAAACCTCACTCAGGTGGGGAGTAATAACAAGAGACTAAGACCTAGTAACTGTGTGGAGCTTCTGAACTGGAACTGTGGAAAAAATGAGGTGTGTAGGAGAACTCACAGTGATGCCGAGATTTTACGCCACAAGCTCAGGTGGCCCTGGCTACCTGGTGAGAGACATTGCAGGGCAATCTGGCTCAGGCAGCCCTTAAATAAATGGAACTGAAAAAAATTGATGATAAGAATACTTAGAAGTAATCAAAAACAAACACATGAACTACTGAAATCCAGAAAGTGAAAGGATGGAAAAAGATATTCCGTGCAAACAGAGACCAAAAAAGAGATGGCATAGCCATCTTAATATCAGACAAAATATACTTTAACACAAAAACTGCTAAAAGGGACAAAGGGGGTCCTATATAATGATTAAGGGATCAATTCAACAAGAAGATATAACTATTATAAATGTGTATGCACCTAATTACAGGGCACCATACTATTTAAACTATATATTAAAGGACTTAAACAGAGACTTAGACTCCAATACAACAGTATTGGGGGACTTCAATACTCCACTTTCAGCAATAGACAGATCAACCAGACAGAAGATCAACAGGGAAACAGCAGATTTAATCGATGCTATAAACCAAATGGATCTAACAGATATCTACAGAACTTTTCATCCTACACTTAAAAAATACACAATCTTCTTAGCAGTACATGGAACCTACTCTAATATTGACCACATACTAGGCCATAAAGCAAATCTCAGCAGATTCAAAACAATCAAAATCATACCATGAATCTTCTCAGACCACAATGAAATGAAGCTGGAAATTAGCAACTCAGGAATCCCTGGAACATATGCAAACACATACAGACCAAACAACATGCTTCTGAATGAACAGTGGGACCTTTAGTACTGTTTCAATTTCTGACTCAGTTATGGGTCTGTTTAGGTTTTCTATGTCTTCCTGGTTCAATTTAGGTAGGTTGCATGTGTCCAGGAATCTATCCATTTCTGATAGGTTTCCCTGTTTGCTGGCATACAAGTCCTTGTAGTAATTTCTGATGATTCTTTTTATTTCTGTGGTGTCTGTTGTTACATTTCCTTTTTCATCTCTGATTTTATTGATTTGGGTCTTTTCTTTTTTTAGTTAGTTGGGCCAATGGGGTGTGAATTTTGTTTATTTTTTCAAAAAACCAGCTCCTCGTTTGGCTGATTTTTTGGAATGTTTTTCTTGATTCAATTCTATTGATTTCTTCTCTGATTTTAATTATTTCTCTTCTACTAGATTTGGGTCTGGTTTGCTGCAGTTATTCTAGATCCTTGAGATGCACTGAAAGCTCATCTATTTGGTGCCTTTCCAATTTCTTGATGTAGGCACCTATTGCATGACCAACACACAGCAAGTAGGGTGTATTTTGTAAAATATTTTGGTAGGCTCACTGTAGGAATGGATGGCCGTAGCCTCCTCAAAACCTCTAACACACACACACACACACACACACACATATACAAACATACATATATATTCATATATATAAAGAGAGAGATAGAGACAGAGAGATACCATTTTAAAACTCTCATTTATTTATTTGAGTGGTAGAGTTACAGACAGTGAGAGGGAGAGACAAAGAGAATGATCTTCTATCAGCTGGTTCACTCCCCAAATGGCGCAGCAGCTGGAGCTGAGTGAATCTGAAGCCAGGTGCAAGGAGCTTCTGGGTCTCCCATGCAGGTGGGAGCCTAAGTGCTTGTGCCATCTTCCACTGCTTTCCCAGGCCATAGCAGAGAGCTGATCAGAAGAGGAGTAGCCAAGACTAGAACCAGTGCCCATATGGGATGCTGGCACTGCAGGCAGTGGATTAATCTATTGCACCACAGCACCAGCCCCAAGAGATCTTCACTCAACAAATTGCTGCAATGGCCAGGGGTGGCCCAGACTGAAGTCCAGAGGCAGGAGCTTCACATGGGTCTCCCATATCTGTGCAGGGGTCCAAGAACTTGTATCATGTTCTGCTGCATTTCCAAGTGTATTAGCAAGGAGCTGGATTGGAAGCAGAGCAGCTGGGTCTCAAACCGATGCTCAGACGGGATGCTGGCACCACATTACACCATAACACTGGTGTTTAAAACAATTTTTAAAGTAAAATATGATTCAGATAAAAATACATAAGTGGTCTTGAAAGTCAATAAATTAGGGCTGGTGTTGTGGCATACCAGATAAAGCTGCCACCTTCAATGCTGGCATCCCCTGTGTGTTACTTAGTCCCAGCTGTTCCACTTCTGATCCTGCTTCCTGTTAATGCACCTGGGAAAGCAGCAGAGGATGGTGCAGGTGCTTAGGTCCCTGCACCCTTATGGGAGACAAGGATGAAGCTTCTAGTTTCTGGCTTTGGCCTGTCCAGGCCCTGGATGTTGTGGCCTTTTGGGAGTGAACCAGCAGATTGAAGACTTCTTTGTCTCTCTCCCTTTATCTACAACTCTGCCTTTCAAATATGTAAAATAAATCTTTCAAAAGGCCAATAAGTTGTAATTACTTTTCAAAACATTTAGTTAAATGTCCTACAAATGCCCAGTGGGTTAAAGAAACCATGGACAAAGCATTAAGGAAAGCAGGAGAAAGATGTATGCACAAATAGGAATGTGAACAAAAATAATGCTGTGGTGAATGTGGCACTGCAGGTATCTCTTCTATATGTCATTGCATATAAAACCACCAATGGCATGGCTGTGTTAGAACGAGAGATTCCAGTAGGCTCCAAACACAGAAAGAAGATTAAAAAATAAAAAAGCTGAGTACCTACATTATACTGTGTCCCACAAAACTGTACAACTGTTATCTATTAATCCAAATGAAAAATAAATTAGTTAATATAAAGATTTTTAAAACATAAAATCATAAACAAGGAATCAAAAGCCTATGTAGAGTTCACAACTTGGAATGAAAGATAATTAGAATTCTAATACAGAAGAAACCTTTAGCTCAATGAATAAATGACTCAGTTTCCTCCTTTATAGGATCTAAATGCAAGATGACTAGAATTGTAGTACTGCTCATATTTGTTGTGTGACACAGATAGCTTGCTGAATCTGAAGAAGATTAGTGATGCTGCCTTTCAACTCTGACATTTATGGAACAGATTAAATCCATGACTGCTTTTTTGATATTTAATTAAGACAGAAAATATACATCTTTAATAAGAATCAATACAGATGGTATGAACAAAAATAATTTAGTGAAGCAGAGGGTTTAATACTCAGAACATACAATGTTGATAATTTATAAGCAATTATATTTATGAACTGAATAGTTAAAAGCTCCAAATTATGAACTTAAAGATTCATTTAAAAAGATAAAAATTGATGCATTTTCAATTATATCATGAGAAAAATCAACGCAGAAATCAGCCACTTTATTACTTGTTAAAAATCAATAAATATTTAATAGAAAAGAATGAAGTACATGAACATAAATACTGCTAAGTAATTCATTCAATAGTTTGACTGAGTATAGAAATAAATGAAAAATATTTTAATCAGGAAACAAAGGATAAACTTCCATTTTATAAGCCAGATATAAGTATTTAAATAAAATATATACAAGGTATAAAATTTGTCATTACATCATCATAGCAGAAATCCAGCAGATCAGATTTTCCATGCACTGTAATGACAATAGAAATCATCAAGTTAAGTGTAACCACAACAAGTGTTATGTACCTATAGATAGATTTCATTAAGTTCATTAAATTAACTCACAATTTAAATAAGAAATTCCGGAAGGTTGTTTTTTAGATTCATAGGAGTGCTAATAAGGAAAAGTGATGATTGAAGACAACATCTTGAATTCAGATAAATAATCCTACAGATATTAGCTTAATGTTATACAAAACCATAATTCTAAACTGGTATATATTTAGTATTGTAGCTAAGGAAGTATAATGTTTCATAAGCTTGTGGAAAATATGAAATTAGTTTTAAAATATTAAAATTATCATATTTAACAAATTATTAGTCTGTCGTGCACTGAGGAAGAGTATTGTGTTCCACATGAAAAGAATAAAAGATTTCTCATGAACTATGGCTGTCTACTAGAGAAAATATATGTGAAATGTTATTTTGTACATTGTTGAAAATTGTACTTTTAAGGGAAAATGTTATATAGTCTAGCAACTTATACTATAGAAAGTTAAAATTCTTAAATGCTCTTAGGTTCACTAAAATTTTAGGACTCTCAAACCACAAAAGTAAACCAAGAAAATGATCCAGGGAAGAAACCACACTAAGAAACAAGTTCTCCATTCATATAAAATTTATCAAAAGATGAAAAATCTTATTTGGGTTGTTCAGACTGGAGGGAGGAAAAGGAATTAGAAATAACTAACTGAAAATATTCCATGGTTATATCTCACATATATGAGAATCAGTCTTTCTATTATTTTTCTCACAAGAAGTAACCGACCACAATCATATTCAGCATCAGATAAGATTCAACATTGGGGCCAGCGCCGCGGCTCAATAGGCTAATCCTCCACCTAGTGGCGCCGGCACACCAAGTTCTAGTCCCGGTCGGGGTGCTGGATTCTTTCCTGGTTGCCCCTCTTCCAGGCCAGCTCTCTGCTGTGGCCAGGGAGTGTAGTGGAGGATGGCCCAAGTGTTTGGGCCCTGCACCCCATGGGAGACCAGGAGAAGTACCTGGCTCCTGCCTTCAGATCAGCACGGTGCGCCGGTCGCAGTGCGCCAGCTGTGGCGGCCATTGGAGGGTGAACCAATGGCAAAAGGAAGACCTTTCTCTCTCTCTCTCTCTCACTATCCACTCTGCCTGTCAAAAATAAAAAAAAAAAAAAAGATTCAACATTGGGATTGTATTTTTAAAATATAAGTCAATACAATGGAGCTGGGGGAATCACAAAAAACATGATGATAACAAGGATATTTATGTATCAAATGCATATTTGGGGCCGGCGCCACGGCTCACTAGGCTAATCCTCCGTCTAGCGGCGCCAGCACACCAGGTTCTAGTCCCGGTTGGGGCGCCGGATTCTGTCCCGGTTGCCCCTCTTCCAGGCCAGCTCTCTGCTGTGGCCTGGGAGTGCAGTGGAAGATGGCCCAAGTGCTTGGGCCCTGCACCCCATGGGAAACCAGGAAAAGCACCTGGCTCCTGGCTTCTGCCATCGGATCAGCGTGGTGCGCCGGCCGCAGCGCGCCGGCCGTGGCGGCCATTGGAGGGTGAACCAACGGCAAAAGGAAGACCTTTCTCTCTCTCTGTCTCTCTCTCACTGTCCACTCTGCCTGTCAAAAAATAAAAAAAAATAAAAAATAAATGCATATTTGGAAGCAGCAAATAAATAACTGTAAATATAATAAACCTACTTGGTATAGTTTAACATGTTAAACAATAGATTGAGTGGAGGAAAAGGCTACTGAACTGTCACATTGAGCACAATTAGAGCTGCCAAGCACAGCAAAGAGAGAAAATCAATAGCAGAATATAATTCCACATATACAAGGTTAGAATGAGAAGGAAATATTCTATTGTTTCTCTGAACTCTACAAAGAAACAAAAGACAATATTATAGTTATTTTAATCGTGTCAATTTCCTAAATTAACCTAAAACACACATCCATGAATTCAGGATTTTATTGTGTCAAAAACTGAAAGTTTAATAAAAACTTCAGTAATATCTGTACTTTGTAACTTCAAAGAGGAAGAAAAGACTTACACAAGTGAGCAAAGGAGGATGATAATCTACAAAGACAAGAGCAAAATTCCCAGTTTATATAATGTCCAAACAGAAATAAATATTAACAGATCATAGAGAAGCAGTCATTACAGGTAAATGTGATGCTTTGCTAATATGCCTTCAATAAATAAAAGTAAATTTAGATCCCTTTCTGTAATAAGGATATCATTTGTTGAATTTTTAAATAAAATGGCTTCAGGATCAGGTACCAAAGGAGCTTCATTAGGTTCAAACTCCAAAAAGAAATTGAAAAATATTTTCCTGAATTATGTTAGGAAAGTGTAAGAGAAAGAAACTTCAATACATGGAGACCATTGAAGTAAGCAGTGACTTTGAACTTTAGCAGTGTCAAATTAAAAAAAAAAAAGGATTTAGATACAATTTAAAAATGCAAGTACAACTCTACTTACTAAAATTATGTTTAAGCTCTTGGATTTTTAAGATGTTTAACAGATGTTGGAATTTATGTTTTAAAATTTGTTAAAATTTGTTGATTTGTTAAAATCGATGTCATATCATGTCTTACAGAATTCCAGTTATTCTTTTATCAGAACTAATAAACACCAAAGGACTGACAGTGGCATAGATATTTCCCACAAGTCTCTGGACATCCAGGACAACTGGATTATATTTCCCCAAAATGGCTGAGGAAGATGAGATGATGATATCCAAACAGTACACGATAACAAAGAAACTCACCAGCAACAGAACAGTCTGGGTGGCCCTTTTTGCTGGAGAAGTTCTTGGGAAAATGCTCATGCTGTGAAGGTATGCAGACTTCCTCTGATGGCTAGATAAGAAAATCACCATGTATACACTGGAGAGCAGCATTAGTCCTACAAAGAAGATGTTCTGGGACAATGCAAGTGTGAAGAATATTTTCAAGATTATGGGATTCATTGAAGAAAGTGAGCAGTACTTACTGATACTGAGTAGATTGGTCATGTTGGAATGAGCTACAGTGTAGATGATCATGTTGCTATTAGAAGATAAGTTGAGGGACCAAACACAGAGGAAAGCATGGAAAATGTACTTGGTGAGTTTCTGTTTAAATCTTGATAGGTAGAAGGTGCTGGGGCTGATGGTGATGACCTGGATGATGCTCAGGAGGCAGGTGGTACAGATGGAGAGACCCCTCATCACCCTTACCAAATAGAACAAAGCCTTACATTTTAAGTCATTGGGAAAATTCAGTGACTTGAACATGTTTGTGGATAAAATATCCAGTGTAGTCAGTAGCATCACTATGTGGACAAAAGCCAAGTGGCAGGTGGTTACATCATTGGGCTTAGGCCTATGATTCTGGTGAATTGTGAAGATATGGAAGAGAAAGAGGAAGGCATTGGCTAAGATTCCAATACCAGCTTGGAAAAAATACAAATTTTTTAATGATAACATAAGTGGAAATTTTGTTCACTTTAAGAGCACACAGGAAGCATTTTATATACCTGAAAAACAACAACAAAAACCAGATCACTTGTCACCAGTGTTCGTTCTTTTTGTCATGAAAATAATCACAAATCATGTTATTTTACCCACTTATTTTTAACAAACTAAGAATATTTTATAGAAATTCTTGATTGTAAATTTTCTGTACTACTCTCTACAGCACATGAATCTTTGCATTATATCCATTTTCTGAGTCCATTGAAGACTCTTCCATTTGTGGATTTCAAAAATTGTTGCAAGAAAATAAAATTATTTTAATTCATTTTTCTGTAAAGTTTTTGAATAATTTTCTTTATACATATGCTCTCCTCTCTCTCATACACATGATGCAAACATACTCAGAAATGAATTGCTAAAGAAGAAAATTCCTCTACAACTCATGACATACATGAGAAAACAAAGGACATAATTCAAGTTGATTAAATGATTTTTGAAACATTTCTGTAACAAAACTGAGTAACTCATTGCTCCATAAACATGTGTCTGTACCCTCAGCAAAATATGGAACCAAGAAAGCCTCAGTTCATGTTGACTGAAGGATTGACTATCTCCATATTTGAGCATAACAATGCAATTTCAGGAATATATTGAAGCATGGAATAATATCTATGCAATTATTTTAGCTCTATTTGTATATAATATATTGTTTTATTGCACAAATTATGAGCGATTCAGTAAAAGAGATGAAACAGTACATGAAAGAGAATAGATAATGATTTCAATGTTTTCTTCTCTGACCACAGTGATATTTGGCTGATTCTCCGTAACTCAAGTCCCTTGTTCTGTAGATGCCCACCATAGATTGAAACAGATTTGATCTTATAGATCATCAACTGTTCTCTGTTTCCAATGTGGCTGTTGGTAAAATGAGGACTGAGAAAAAATGTGGTTACTGTTGATGTTCATTAATAGATGAAGTATAATTATTTACATAATTTTTTGAAAACTTCTCTAAATTTCAATAGTAAGAAGTTTGTATCATATATACAAATCCCCAAATGCATTTATTATTTATTTGAATGTTAAAGTTAGTTTTGTGTCACATTTTTATGCAAGTAATCTGACAGGCCAATCATGGAAGGATCACCGAATTTGCAATAATATGCTACTGACCTGTGAGAAATGGAATAGAAGGAAGTTTGAGCATGGTCACCTATAATTGGTCAGAGTGAGATGGATGTAACTGGAAAGCATTATATTAGTGAAACAAGCCAGTCCTAAAAAGAACATACCATATTTTCTCTATTCTAAAAGAGTAAAATTGACCCCTTATGATTCAATGATTGTTTACAGCCCTTGTCTGGATGGTGGAAGAATATATTTTTAATTTATACTAGTTGTTGGACTCTTTACTTAGGGTAGGATTAATCTTATGGGTAAAAAGTTAACTGAAAGTAGATTTTGTAAAAAATAAGAATGGGAATAGAAGAGGTTAGAGGAAGAAGAATGAGAGTGTGGGTGGGCGGGTGTGTACAGTGGAAAGTATCACTATGTTCTTGAATCTGTATATAGCAAATACATGAAATCTGAGTACCTTAAATACAATTTTTAAAAAATAATACATTTGGGGGAGAGGCAAGATGGCGGAATAGGAAGGGAGCACACTGATAGTCCAGGGAGAGATAGTTTAATAAAAGTGGAGATACTGCAGGTTCAAGGAAGAGTAGGGGAGGAAACAGCAGAAGAAACTCTTCCAGAACGCGTGATTCACAGCAGACCTGTGTGGAGAGCGTGGGAGCCCACAGTTTGGGACACCAGCGGCAGACTCAACACACCAGCGCTGGAACGCAAGGTGAGCCGAACCTCAATAGCCCGAGACACCGGCAGGCAAGCAGAGAGAGGAGACTAGAGGGAACGACCCCCGGGGGGGAAAAGTTCACCAGGCTAACTGGAAGAGAGAGAGAGAGAGAGAGAGAGAAAAAAAAAAAGGTGACTGGTACGGACACGGGTTTCTCTCTCTCTGCTCACCTCTCAAGGGCGAGCAAGACAAAGAGCAGGCGCCATCTTGGACATACGTCATAAGCAGAGCGACCTCAGGTCTGCACCGGCCCTGAGCCTAGCAGAAAACCCTGACTCTGGGCGGGGCGAATTAACAGGAGATTAGGACCTAGTAAATTTGTGGTGCTACTGAACTGAGACTGTGAAAAAAGAGACGGTGGGGGAGAGAACTCACGGAATTCACCTGAGTACTCTCCAGAGACACTACAATTCCGTAACTTTGGCAACCCAGTGGGAGACTGAAGGAGAATTTGAACCCACTCTGAGGGCCAAACAGATTCCCTGTGTGGTCCTTGGGAAAGAGCTTCCGATCTCTGGCTCCTGTGGGTATATCAGTTGCCTGCTAACTACCTCCAACTTCGTTCAGCTGTGCGGAATTACTTCCCTTTTGAAACAAAAAAAGAAAGAGAGAGAAAGAGAGATTTACCACTCCTAACCTGGGAGTGTCACCTTTGGGACACCAAACAGAGCTCTCAGGCCACACCCATCTCAAGCCCTAAGGCTCCATCAAAAACAGATAGTCCACTTAATCTAGAGTCATAGTATAACAAGAAAAAGCACCACAGTGAAGAAACCAAATATCTCCAATATGCCAAATAACAAATGCAAAAACCGAGGTAATAAAAACAAGGAAGTCACCATGACGCCCTCAAATGAAAAAGACACCCCAATTCAAGATTATGAAGATGATGACATAGAAGAAATGCAAGAAGCAGATCTCAAAAAATTGATAAGAACATTAAGAAGTTCTCAAAAACAAATTCTTGAACTACATAAAGCCTTAATGGACAAGATAGAAAATCTCTCTCATGAAAATGAAATATTAAGGAGGAATCAAAATGAAACGAAACAATTAGTACAACAGGAAACTGTGATAGTGACTGAAGTGAAGAATTCAATAGATCAAATGAAAAACACAATAGAGAGCCTTACAAACAGAATGGGTGAAGCAGAAGAGAGAATATCGGACTTAGAAGAGAGAGAACAGGAAAGGATACAGTCAGATCAAAGAAAAGAAGAGGAAATTAGAAATCTAAAACATATTGTCAGGAATCTTCAGGATACTATTAAAAAAACCAACATTCGGGTTCTAGGAGTTCCTGAAGGCATGGAGAGGGAGAAAGGATTAGAAGGCCTTTTTAGTGAGATATTAGCAGAAAATTTCCCAGGTTTGGAGAAGGACAGAGAAATCCTAGTACAGGAAGCTCACAGAACCCCTAATAAACACGACCAAAAGAGATCCTCACCACGACACGTTGTAATTAAACTCTCCACAGTGAAACATAAAGAAAAGATCCTAAAATGTGCAAGAGAGAAACGTCAGATTACTTTCAGAGGATCGCCAATCAGACTCACTGCTGACTTCTCATCAGAAACTCTACAAGCTAGAAGGGAATGGCGAGATATAGCCCAGGTACTAAGAGAGAAAAACTGCCAGCCCAGAATATTATATCCTGCAAAGCTATCATTTGTGAATGAAGGTGAAATAAAGACGTTTCATAACAAACAGAAATTGAAAGAATTTGTCGCCACTCGTCCAGCCCTGCAACAGATGCTTAAAGATGTGTTACACACAGAAACAAAGAAACACGGTCATCAGTATGAAAGAAGGTAAAGGAAGGAAAGCTCACAGCAAAAGATCACAGGGAATTCAAAGCATATATTAGAACTTACCTTTGGCAAATGGCAGGGCAAAGTTACCACTTTTCATTAGTCACATTGAACGTGAATGGCCTGAACTGTCCAGTTAAAAGACACCGATTGGGATTTGCTTTTTAACCTGATGCAATTTTAAATGATGCTTAATTTTGTTTTTAAATTTCAAATCCTAGCTCTTACCCATACATGGAACAACAATTAAATTGTACATGTAATTCGCCACTTTGCTACACTAACATTGTTCCAGGGGTACTTATGATGTACTTTTGAATTTTCTATACATGCAATAATGACATTTGCTAGCAGTTTTATGTCTTCCTTCCCAATATGTATGCATTTTGTATCCTTTCTTTGTGTTACTGCACTGTCTAGTAATTCCACCATAATATTGAAAAGTAGTGGTGAGAAAAAGACACTTCCGCCTTTCCCCAACTTAAGGGAAAACTGTCCAATTTCACTATTAAAGTTGGTTTTGGTAGATATTCTTTATCTAGATGAGGAATTTCTCTTCTGTTTCTTGTTTGCTCAGTTTTTTTATGCCAAATATCTTTTACAAAAGTTGATGTAACCATTTAACATTTTTGCAGTTTGTGTAGTATGTCCAATTTATTGATTTTTTAAAATGCTGACAGCCTTGCTTACGTGGGATAAATACCACTTGCTTGTACTACATAAAATCGTTGGATTTTACCTATTATTTAAAAAAAAAGAGAGATTTCTAAAGGCAACCCAGAGGAATCCTCAATCCAGTTCTTCATTAGAAGAGATGTGCAATTCGGGACATGCTCAAGCTGACTTACCTCAAACGGTAGAGTTAGAAACATACCAGGGGATTCCAATTCAATCCCATCAAGGTGGCATGTACCAATGCCATCTCACTAGTCCCAGTGATCAATTTATGTGCACAATTGATCATAATGATAGGACTAAGAACCAAAGGGATCACATAAACAAGAATAGTGTCTGCAAATACTAGCTGATAGAATCAAAAAGGGAGAGAATGATCCAACATGGGAAGTGAGATACACAGCAGACCCATAGAATGGCAGATGTCCTAAACAGCACTCTAGCCTCAGAATCAGCCCTTAAGGCATGCGGATCCAGCTGAAAAGCCCATGAGAGTATTTCAGGCATGGAAAGCCAAGACACTGTGGGGAAAAAAAAAAACCTAAATGAAAGATCTCCACGAGTGAGATCCCAGTGGAAAGAACGGGTCATCAAAGAAGGAGGTACCTTTCTCTGAAGGGAGGAGAGAACTTCCACTTTGACCATGGCCTTGTCTAAATATGATCAGAGTCAGTGAACTCAGGGGGCTTCCATAGCCTTGGAAACTCATGACAAGAGCCTAGGGTGATTACTGATGCCATAAACAAGAGTGTCAATTTGTTAAGTCAACAACAGGAGTCACTGTGTACTTACTCCTCATGTAGGATCTTTGTCCTTAGTGGGCTGTACATTGAGATTTAATGCTATAATTAGTACTCAAATAGTATTTTTCACTTTATGTTTCTGTGTGGGAGCAAACTGTTGAAATCTTTACTTAATGTATGCTAAACTGATCTTCTGTATATAAAGAGAATCGAAAATGAATCTTGATGTGAATGGAAGGGGAAAGGGAGTGGGAAAGGGGAGGGTTGCGGGTGGGAGGGACGTTATGGGGGGCAAGCCATTGTAATCCATAAGCTGTACTTTGGAAATTTATATTCATTAAATAAAAGTTAAAAAAAAAAATAAACCACAGTGGAAAAAAAAAAAATAAATTACTACCTGAGGGGGGAAAAAAAAAAAATAATACATTTTATATAATTTTTGAACAAAGTAAACACTTTAAAATCTGAATGTATATCTCAGTTCTCACTGTAAGAAGTGACAACCTGGGGTTACTGGGGCTGAGAATGAATCCCTTGAGCAAAGCATGGACAACATTCACCCTCTTTATTCTGGCTTTCACCTTATACTCCAAAAATGTTTATGTAATCACTGATTGTGGTGAGGAAAATAGCACAATTAAATGGACCAGGAATTGAAAGACTGATGAAATCTCTGGTGTTAGATTAGACATGCATATAAAACCGAAGCTGTATAATGACAAAGACATCTGCACAAACTCAAGTGCTATTTTAACACACAGTATTCTTTGAAAATATTTACTCAAAAGGCAGAGAGACTGAAACACATGCAGTGACAGAGAGAGAGAGAAAGAAATCTTCCATCCACTGGTTTACTGCCCAACCTGCCCACAAATGCTGGGACTGGGCCTGGCCAAAGATAGGACTGAGGAACTCCATTTAGGTCTCCTTGTGTGTATCAAGGCCCCAGTGCTTGAGCCATCATGTGCTGCTTCCTAGGTGCATTAGCAGCAGGAGGAAGATGGATCAGATGCATGTTATACCCGGGACTTGAAACAGCACTCTGATGTGGGATCCAAATGTGCCAAGTGTCAGCTTAATCCTCTCCAACACAGTGATATCCTCAAGAGAGATAATTTTGATAAAGCAACACTTCTCATCTTTATCACAATATCAATTATTAAAATGTGGTTATGGCTGGTGAATTAAAATGTTATTTTATGGATGAATGTATAGTGATATTTGCAATCTCATAGACTTAAGCAGAGTATGTATGATAAAATATACTATTTTATTTTCTTATTCTGTTAAACATCAGTGTTATCTACATCATAAGTTCTACAATATTCATTGAGTAGCATTTTAAAACCTCTGACACCATTGGCAACGTTAAAATGATGATGAGAATTTCAAATGAACCAATGTAGTGGAGTAGATTGATAGTGTTCATTGCTGGGAATGAGTTAGGTGACAGATTCAAACACCTTTCCACCATGATTAGCTCCATAAAAGTATTTTTTTTTATAAAATGGACGTATTCCAGAAGAATCAACAGTGCATTCTTCCAATCGCATTGACTGACTGCAATGTGTCACCTATTCCTTGGAAACTGAATTTAATGCAGGTGGATCTAAAAGCAGAAAGTTAATGATGAATATATGCATAATCACAAACATTGAATTTTCAATGCCTAAGAAAAAGCATAGGTAGGGCCCAGCACTGTAGCGCAGAGGGTTAACTCAGGGGGCTTCCATAGCCTTGGCAGCTCATGACAAGAGCCTAGGGTGATTACTGAGGCCATAAACAAGAGTGTCAATTTGTTAAGTCAACAACAGGAGTCACTGTGCACTTACTCCTCATGTAGGATCTCTATCCTTAGTGTGCTGTACGTTGTGATTTAATGCTATAACTAGTACTCAAACAGTATTTTTCACTTTATGTTTCTGTGTGGGAGCAAACTGTTGAAATCTTTACTTAATGTATGCTAAACTGATCTTCTGTATATAAAGAGAAACGAAAATGAATCTTGATGTGAATGGATGGGGGGAGGGAGTGGGAAAGGGGAGGGTTGCGGGTGGGAGGGACGTTATCGGGGGGAGCCATTGTAATCCATAAGCTGTACTTTGGAAATTTATATTCATTAAACAAAAGTTAAAAAAAAACAAATAAATAAATATTTTTTTAAAAAAAAGAAAGAAAAAGTATAGGTAACAAATATGTCATTAGAGATTTAAAGACAAAAATCATAGCAGGGCAAGACAATAAGAAACCATATGCTGGGGCAGGAGTGCACAGAGACACTGCCATGGCATTAGCATCCTAAGTGAGTGAAGGTTCAGATCCCAGCTGCTTCAATTCTGATCTCCATGCTAATGTACCTGAGAAAGCAGCAGAAAATGGCCCAAGTGCTTGGGCCCCTGCTAACCATGTGGGAGACCCAGAATAAGCTCTTGGCTCCTGGCTTTGGATTGGCCCACCCCTGGCCATTGCAGCAATGTGGGGAATTAACCAGTGGATGGAAGCTCACTCACTCTCTCCCTCACTCTCTCTCTCTCTCTCCCACCTCTTTCTCTCCATAAATCTTACAAAGAAAAAAAATTATATGCTGTAATTTTTGGGATATGCAAAAGTGCTTCATGAGCATGCATTTTTTAAACAACCAGAATCAAGCACACACCAGGGAGGGATAAAACCGTATTTTTAAAAGCTAGTAACTTGCCTTCTTGTGCATCACTATGATAACCATAGCAACCCTGTCAAATGCCAAATGTAGAAAGCAATGAATAATGTATCCTGCACCAAGCTCTCTGATCAGGCCCATGTGGACCCAGGGCACCTACCTAATGCAAAGTTTTAAAATGAAGACTTTAAGACATAACATTCAGTAATATTTGAATACATCAATAGAAGTATTCGTTTTTCAGATTTTTTGAAGAGTTAATGCTTGTGTGGCCACAAATGAGCAATCCTTGTTATTTTTTCCACTTTATTCACAACAGTGTCACATGTGCACCCTCCCTTTCCTGCATTTTAAGTACTCAATAGTACTAGAGAATAGTATTCTTATTCAAGTTAGATAATATTAATGGGATAGTTGTGGTGATTCAGCAACTAAATTGAAACTGAAAAAGTATTTGTTATACATAAAAATTTAAAAAGAAATACAAACTTTTGAAGGAAATCAGAAATAGTGTCATTGGTGATTATTTTTTCTATAGTAAACAGCATTCCCTTTATTTATAACAATATATTTTTCTTTTATATGTGTAAAATTTTAATTTTTTCAGTTAAAGGTTTCAGTTTAGTTTAAAAACCTAAATAATAAAGTGAAACATTTTAAGAAATTAGTTGAACTTATGCCACTATTCTCATGTATTATTCACCCAAGCTAATAACTTTTCAAAATATTTCATATAGAATAGAAAGTATTTCTAGATAAATTTCTGATAAACAGAAAATGTTATCAGCAATCAATTTAGTGGAAAAAAAATCATGGCCATTTGTTAAACTCATTTTTGTTTAATATTAAGAATATTGCATTGCTTATGGGGCAATAAGGTGAAGCAGTCCTAAAATTTTCTGAAATATCTTTAAAAAATTCCAAAATTGACAGAAAGAAATAAATATCACTTAGACATATTGAATTAGTTCAGGCTTGTTATGTCTTGCCTGAACAAATTACTTGAAAAAGACATATGTTAAATTGAGAAATATACTAGAATGAGGGAAACCAGATAAAAACCAGTGCAAGTACATCAAAAATCATAAATATACTATTGCAAACCTATTCATTCATAACCTTCCATAATTCACGAAGTTTATCATTTCATGTCTAGAAACACGTACTGTTAACAGTGGAGTAATAGCTAAGACTGGTATCAGAAGCACAAAATCCTCCTGACTTGTCACTGAGACCAACCCTTCTCCAGCCTAGGATCCACTTACTCTAGGAGCTCACTCTGTGCATGAAACAGAAAGTCACTCACCCAGCTAGGCCTCTGATGTGAATCCATTATGGGATGAATACCCAAGATGTGGTTATATGGAAGGGATGGCATCAGCTCATCTCCCTGCAGGCCCATAACTGTCATTTGAACTTTAGAAGCAGGACATCCGTGGCCTTGATATCACTGGAAATAGGAGCCACCTCAGGGAACAGTGAACTTTCATGGTTTCTGGAAGACAGTGGAGGAGAGCAGCTGGGTCCCACTCTTCTTAACTGTGGACTCATTTCTCCAAGGCAGGCATGTCTGGGCAGGTTGTCTGCTCTCAGTCCTTGTCAACAGACACAAGTAATACAGTAACCTCTGCTTCTGAACAAGTACAAGTACATCTGATATTTCAAGCGATCCCCATTGCTCTTAGAGACATCCAATGCCAACCTCAGTTCTCTTTTGGAATCAGGGTCTCAGTGAAACAATACAGAACCTGTATATCCCTGTGCCAGGGCTTCTGCGTTGGTAGTAGAACACAGGCTGCCTTTCCTCTGCTTCCTCTACCCCAGGGAAAGTACATTTCAGCAGCACAATGGTCCACAGATTGCATTGTCCTGCTCAAAATAATTTATTTAGATGTGGATCCCAGTATTCTGTGTTGATTTGTTCTGCCACCTGTCCCTTAGTCTCCTCTCCCAATTGCACTCACAGGGTTTCTATTTCACACATACAGAAGTAGAGGAATTACAGTTTATCAAATGACAAATTTCCTGTTTGATACCCAACAGCCACCCTTTGTTCTGACTTATTCAAAGATGAGCATTTAACCTGATTAGAGCTGCTAAGTCTGTGGTCCCCTTTATGAATCCAACACCCACTAATTTTAAAGTGGTGGGTGGCATTTATCTTCTCAATAATCAATTCCCATATGGACAGTAAATCTCAGACTCTTAGGTTCTTTCTGGTGGACTTCTCATGTATCTTCCTTGATCCACTCTGGACCCATTATCTATTTGATTTGCATAAGGCCTGTCCTTCTCAGATACATCTGAATCAGGGAGGATGCACTTGTTTACCAGAGATGGAGACTGCTGTGGAACCAGACCAGCTAGTTCTCCACAGCCAAGCTCACTGAGTAGAGCTTCTGGCTCTCCTCTGTCATTTGCACCTGTTCTCTCAGCACAGGAAACCTAAGGCTAATAGAATGGGAAACAAGCAGAAAAACTTAACTTGAAGGCAATACAACTAATTAATTTCTTATTTATAGTTACTAGTTGTATATCTGCTAAAACACACTTTATCTGTCCAATGTTATGAAATTAATGTATGTTCTAAAGACCACTAACTTAATCCAGGTATTCTGCATGAGTGGGAAGTGCCAAATTATCTGATCCCTCAGCTGTTACATTTCATATTTTGTTAGTGAGAAGCAGAAATCAGGACCAGATACAAGACTCTAATCCAGGAACTTTGATAAGGGATGCAGGTGTCCTAACCAGGATCTTGCCACTAGGCCAAATGTCCACCCCTAAAAAAATATTCTTTTAGCAATTTGGAAATACATATTATTAACTGTGATCATCAAGCAGTGCAATTATTCACTCATTTTTGTCTTGGTGGAATTATTGCCCTTCAATCAACATTTTCTGTTTCCTACTTCATACCTCACGACCCTGACAACCCCTGGTAATCAGCTTTCTATTCTCTGATTATTCTTTCCACTGCAGAAGGGACATAATACACCCGTTTCAGGCTGCCTAAGGGAATCCTCACAGTTTTTTTTTTTCTTTTTTCCATTTCGTAGTATTATTGCAAGCAAGAACTTTACTGCTTGAAACTCTCCACTAGCACTGGATGCCCAAATAGACCTGCCCCCCAGATGATATTATCCCAGAGATCACAATAGGAAATAACTGTAGGAAATAAAATAACCTCAAGTAATTTAAGTGTGTAGACATTGTTAATCCCATTAAAAGAGAGCACTGGAATGGATGAAATGTTTGAGAAATGATTAGAGGAAGGAACCCTGCTCAATCAGCAATGATTCATGAGCACTTAAGTATGTAAATTTATACTTTCAGTAGAACATACTATCAAGCATGTCATGTATTGTATTCATTTTTGTAAATCATTTATCTTTGTCTCCATAAACTAAGCTGAATGCCCATGAAAGCATATACTTATGTCTGTTTTCCTTATTGTTCTGACCTGAGCACCTAGAATAAAATCTGGCACATAGTAGGAAAGTGTAATATGCGCCCATGAATGAAAGTACTTTGGTAATCAGTCATGACAACAAACATGTACTATGAATCAATGTACAGCAGTCCCTCCCTAAAAAGTTTGTATGTATTATAGTTAATGCCTAATAATTTGCATATTTTTAATTTCTTAGTTTTGATAGCATCAACAAGTTATCTCCTTATGATGGCTCCCCTTTCTGTGTTGCAGCTTGGCAGAAAAATGGAAATGGGAGTGGCTATGTTCCAAAGAGGCCAATCATGTGGGGTCCCCTCATTTTATAATAGTATGCTCTTGTAAGAACTCACTGTAAGAGATGGGCAATGATCTTTTCCAAAGGAAAAGAACCTAATCACTAACTCTAGGATATACCTCTAAAAGATTTCTTTTTTCAAAGATTTATTTTATTTATTTGAAAGACAGTTACAGAGAGAGGTAGAGACAGAGAGAGAGGTCTTCTATTCACTGGTTCACTCCCCAGATGGCCACAATGGCTGCGCCAATCCGAAGGCAGGAACCAGGAGCTTCCTCCGGGTCTCCCACATGGGTGCAGAGGCCTAAGGACTTGGGCCATCCTCTGCTGCAATCCCAGGCCACAGCAGAGAGCTGGACAGGAAGAGAAGCAGCCAGAACTAGAACCGGTGCCCATATGGGATGTCGACGCTTCAGGCCAGGGCATTAACCTACTGTGCCACAGCACTGGCCCCTAAAAGATTTCACTACAGCAACACCAGGCCCTACAAAAAACCATCCACTACATGAACTGTCAGATACATTCTCAAACCAAAGTTCCACATGATCCAACAATCCTCTCTCTGGGTATATATCTTAGGGTATTAAATCAATGTGTTTATAATTATTGTAATATTATGAACAATATCCAAAAGATAAACTTAGAGGTGTGACTCAGCATTTGAATGAATAAGAAAATGGTATATCAACAAAAGAAACTGCTGTTTCAAGAACTAGAGAACATTATAGTAATTGAAATGACCCCAAAACAGACAGAAATGTACTATGGATTCTCTGATCTGTAGGAGCTAAAATGGTCAATAATCGGGACAAATAATACTTTAATTCATTTTTTAAAGCCATTTTGTGTCAAGGCAGGACCAGTAAAAATCATGGCAGGAAGAGGCTTACACAGACATATGTGGTTTCAAACATATAAAATGTAAAGGGTTGCTTCTTTAAAAATACACACATACAAGTGTAAACTTAGGCAAGAAAATGAATTTTAATTTAGAAAACAAACGAATAATAAGTGCAAATTTGAAAAGGACATTTGGCATTTACCACAAAAAGTGGGAAACACAGAAAACTGAATTTTGAATAATTTCCTGAAACTCCTTTATAATACATTTTACTGGCAATTTTATAACATTTGGAAAGACTTACTAAGTATTCCTTATATGATAACTATAAAACATGTTTTATGAGGTCTGTGGATACTCACACAGCATTCAATTTTATTAATTTTATTTCTTAAACTTATTTAATGGGAACAATTTTCATATATTTGATATATTCAGTTTAAGAGAATAATGATACTTCCCACCCTATCCTCCTTCATCCCTCCCTACTCCCACCATCACTCTTCCCTCTTTTCTCATGTTTCTTTCAATTTATTTTATTATCATAAGCTTAAACCCCCACTAAATAAAAAAAGTCAACAAACAGTAGAGTTTGTTAGATTCACAGAGTTCTAGCACCTTAGGTTCCTCCATAAGCAAACTAAATTCTAATTTAAACAATGAAATGAATTTAAGCTTAACTATTAACATCTAAATAGGGACCATCCAGTGATCACATTGACATAAGCCAAAAACCTAACTGTACCTAACCCAGTAATGTCTTTACTTTGCCTCCGTATTCCACTTTCAAAAGGAGTTTTCTGAATGTCTTCTATTATTGAATGCGCTGACTCATGAATGCTTAAGTAAATAAACTCTTCCAGTAGCTTTCCTGAGTATTTTTATCATAACAATAGGGCCAGAAAATTTTATTTATCATTATTACCCCATCAGTATTCAGTAAAAGGGATCCCCATATTTCACTGTGTACTCAGAGGAGGAGTACACAGAATCTGACAATGAAGAGACACTATCCTTTGGATTGCGAGGGTTTCCTGTCTTGGGGACATAGGGCCCAATTTGCATGGTGCACACTGGCCTTTCACCTTCCTGTCATGCTGCTGATTGAGCAGACAAAGTAGGTCATAGAATAGTCCAGTAAGTTTTTCCAGTGCCACCCCAAAATATAATGGTGCCTTAAATACACACACCAAGTTACTGCAGACCACCAAACACACCCTACTAAACTCAAAGAAGATATGTCCTCCACATTTCCTCTTGTCTGGATTGCAAAAGTCCCACTGGCTAGTTCAATGCCACCTTACACAAATGACCCTAACTGAAAGCTCTTGATAGTACTACAAAAGCATGACTACGTGGGTATTCAGAACAAGTCAAAGAGCTATTCTGCTTAAGCAGATTTTCCATAATCTTCCCCTGAGCAGAAGTCATTATTACTGACCAAGAAGATGAAAATGCCAAAAAGGAGGTAAAACTTAGAAACTGACCTGAAGACAAGTTTTTCTGCAACAATTATAGCCCATGAAAAATCATTGTGACTTCAACTTCAGTGTGTCAATTTCTTTCAGAAAGCTATTGAAGAGTTCAGGGAAATTTTATCAAAGATACTTTTGCTACTAATTTTTAGATACATTATATATAGTGTCATGTTGTTACATTGAATTATTGACACATTTAACATGAAATAAATATAATTTTGATAAAGGAATATTGTTATCTTTAGAAAAAATTTTATTCTGAAGCACACTCTCAAAGACTGAAAAGTTTTTGTCCTACTCAATATTGCATCTGGTGAAATATTTGATCAACTCTGAATTTTAGTGTACACATTTGGCAAATTCAATTTTTTAGAGATTTATTTTATTTATTTGAAAGACAGAGTTACTGAGAGAGGTAGATACAGAG